ACACTAAAAATTTTAAAAATCGTATATTAAATAGGGTTTGATTTCACGATCATCCGATTTCACCATCATCCATGACAATAAATAACAAGTTTTATTTGAATCGATGACCAGACAAAGGAATATAATCCCTTGTGTCAATAGAAAAAAAAGCCTCATAATATGTAAATATAAAAATCCCAAAATGAAATCATGAGGATAAATTATCCAATAATATGTACACGCCTGTAAACCATACTCGTTAATTCATACTCCGTTCCAACAGGAGGAAACGTTATCAGTCCGCTAGTACACGTTATGATTATAATCCCACACCATTTTTATTATGGGATTATAATCATAACATGTACTAGCGGACTGATCAAGTATTTTAAAATAATTTTTTTACGAGTTGTACACCATGTGTAGAATCAGGCGTGAAACATCAACATCAACGTTTCCTCTTGTTCTCTGGTATAAACTTTATTGGAAACGATCTGCTGCATGCCGACAAAGAAAGATTAGAGGGTAAATGTGTTATGAAAATCCATAATAAAAAGTATGAAAACACTTGAACAATACTTTATTCATTTTAATATTTATAAAGTTTTGATGAGTCAGCGCAGAAAAAAGGTGGTTTGGGGGAAAAGTTTTTTGACGTAAATGGCAAACTCACTGTTCATTTTTTACTATTTAAAATTTCTTTCACGTGATAACTACCTTATTTATCTTAATGACAAGCTCGATTGATCGATTAAAATTACTTTCCTTTAATTAAAATTGATTCACAGCACATCTCTGACATACTTTAACCCTTTAATTGAGTTACGTGAAGGTACCTGTGAACTTTATTGGGTATTTGATAATTCCAATTCCTTATCTATAATTCCCTATCTATAATTATAGCAAATTAAGAATGAGGTAGTGATGCTATCATACAATAATTAGGAACTTAGGAACATAGTTAACGATTTTGTAACTTATATGTTATTGGCTTTTTAGGATACTGTAAACTTTTGGTTAGATATAGCAATTTACACTTCAAGAATACGGAATCCAGTGATCGTAAATCATGCAATGACATCATTTGTTTACTAGCACTAAAAAATTTATCCTATCACCTAACCCTAATACTAACCCTAACTTAGGCCGAACATTTAATCATGTGATATTATGACCACGTAAATATCACTGGGCTCCTTGTTCTCGAAACTACCCTGATTTAAGCGCCACAATCATTGAGTCAAATTATGCCGAAAATGTGTCATTTTTAATTAACGAAAATATTTTTAATTGGTCACCGGCTTGTCATTAAGATAAGGCAGTTTATACGTGAAAGAAAAAATTTTAAATAGTAGAAATGAATTTTGTGTTTACAATTTCAGTCAAAAAAAACTATAACTCCAAACCAACTTTTTTTTTAGCGCTGACTTATCAAAATTTTTAACTATTAAAGTGAATAAAATATACTTTTTATTATAGATTTTCATTATTGGCACACATTTTGTTAAATTATTTAGAATCCTTTCAAGCAGTAATTGGGATCTTTATTTTGATCAATCGTTGCATTTGAGCATCACTGCAATTTATTAGAAAACCACAATTACAGTATAGAATAATTTGGGAATAAGAATTTTAATTTTGTTTATTTTTAATTTTATTTTTTTTTTATATAAAATTAAGTTACGGTAATAGTAATGTTTGAGCACATCTCAATAATATCGTCAAAAATGTTGTGATAATAGCTAAAATTATGCCATAATTCTTGTGATCACTATGAATAGCATCTAGGTTGATGCTTGAGAACACCCTAAGTCTCATACGTACTTACCTTATGTTTTAGAATAAATCTTAATATAGTGCAATGTTCATTTGAGTAACACTCACCTCCTTTTACAAAGTATAAGTATTGCTTCAAATAAAAAGGAAAATCTAACGTAACACTATTATGCCTGCATGAATTTTAAAGTGGTCGTTTTTCATTGATAAATTGATCTTTTTCTTTTTGACAAGAATTATGTCAGGTGATTTGAATGAATTAAATGAATTAATTAACGATATTATTGAAGAAGAAATTAATAAAATTAATAATGAAGGAAAAGAAATTATAAAAAAATACGAATATAATTTATTTAGCAATTTTTCAATAATCAGTAGAAGTCCTTTTGGAAATGTTCGAACAGCAACGTGGGAAACCTCTACAATTGTTCTTAAAAGCATAATCATTAATGCTTGTCAAATTGATAGCGGAATTATTGATGAAATAAAGAATGCTGTTAATGACAGTAAAATCGTTCCCATTGAAACTACAATTAGCAATAATAAAACCATTATTACTAATGCGATTAGATTGTTTATTAACGAGGTAATTATTTTTATATATGATACTTACTTCTGAGTATAGTTTAATATTATCTGATTTCTTTCGATGTATAGCTTCGGAAATTAGCAGCTGTCGATAAACATAAACACCCAAATATTATCCAATTCTATGGAATAACTAACGGTAATTAAAAATATAAAGTAAAAGATTATTTTTGAGAATGAATATAGTCCTTTATATATTAATATTATTATTTTAAACAGATCCCTCAAATAATCAATATAACTTGATTTTACAATATGCTACTAACGGAAATTTACGCAATCACTTAAGAAGTAACTTTTCGAAATTAAAGTGGTCTGATAAACTACGATATGCACATGAAATAGCTAAAGGACTTTCATTTTTACAATAAAGACAAAAATACTTATATCTTGAAATCCACCAAGCTGATTTTAACATTTTAACTGCCATATTGATCATAAGACACTCTTCTACAACTTTAGTAAAGAAAATCACTTTCTTTAGAAAACTATTGATTCTAAAGACAATACTACTTTTTACTATGTTTTGTGGACAGACGGAAATGCAAAATTACTTTTTTAATGTTTTAATATTTGATGCATCAAGAAAGTTTCTTTTGTATCATCATGCATAGAAATTAAATTTTCGCTTAGTTCCAGAAATTAATAAAATTAAATATAGGGCAAATATAAACTTATGCCAAAACTGGTTTAACCTGTAACTCTCTGAAAATCCAATTCCCGTTCCTGGTTTTGCATGACAACGTCGCGCAGCTACTTATTGGAATGTACGTTGTAAAATATCAATATAATACTAGAAAACAGGCTCTATTAGGTGTTCGAAGCCATTAAATATAACTTATAAACAAGATTGATTTATCGTTATCCGTTATTAGCTTAAAATAACAAACCGATTGGCTAATAATAAGGATAACGATGACCATCAAATCCAAAAATAGAAGCGGACATAAACACACACAAAATCTGGTCTATGACAACACCGTAAAGTCCTCGCTACGCTTCGGACAATTTATTCTTAGAATTAGCCCTAAGTCCGTTGGATTAAAATTCGGAAGGTAGATCATTGGATCATCGGATTATCTTCGCACATGTTTATAAATGCTAGCTCCCACGATTTTAGAGGAAGCCCTTTGAAGGCTTTTCCTAATAAAGGGAATTCTCATGAATCGTTCCTCCTATAAATCGCCTGCTTAAATGCCTAATAAATTATAATGCTAGGAGTCTCGAGTTTCATCCCGACCTTAAGTACTGACTATTAAAAAGTATGACCATGACCCGGATCCATGCAAGTTCTCCACAATGCTATCCCACTTAACTAACACTAGAGTTCCATTCCGTTATCCGTTTATCCATACCTTATTTATTAGGACTATCTATTTACTATTGATATCCGGATGTCAATAGTAAATAATCTGGATAAACACTAACCGGATTGGAACTCTAGCTAACACCCTCTAAAAATAACTCCAAACTAATTCTGATCATTTACTTATTTATGAATGCAAATTAAATGCGCAGTGGAAATAGGGGAACTCTAACTATGTTCGATTGTTAAATCAATTGTAATACCATTAAGGGGTACTTTGTTTAATACGTAATTAAACATATGACTAATTCATATAAAATTAAAAAATTAGTCACTGACCCTATAAAAATTACTATTTTGGGAAGAAAATGTTTGCTTATTTGTTTGTTTGTTCGAAAAGCATTATAGTTTTGCAGTACATAATCTATTAACAAAATCTGAACTTGGCTAATTGCTATATAATGAGAATTATTCGATGCATGCACAAATTAAATAATTTTTTATTTCTTTCCATCAATCTCACAAAGAACATCAAATTAAAATGGAAAATGAAAGTAGAATTACAAATTGGAAAAGGACTAAAGGAATATTATATGGAGTAGGATATAATATTAACAAAATTATAGGTAAATCGACAGACATTACATTTGACATCAAATAGAAAACTGCAGTGACAAATGGACGTCACTACCTAATTTAATATGACATAAAAAGATTATAACCTCTGAACTTCAATTATTTGTATATAAAATTATAGGAGCAGGTTCGTTTTTAATTTTTATTTCAAAAATTTTTTCGGTGAATAAAGCTTATTATTATTTTAAATAGGGATTTTTAACCCAGATGGGATATTGAAACTAGTTCGGTCATCAGGAATTGCTTTAGTGCTTTTTTTTGTCTGTGGTATCATTAGCCTTTTAGGCAGTTTGATCTACATTGAGGTGATAAATATGACGAATAACGAATTATCAATTGAAATTCCTTGATTATTTAATATTTGATCATCATTATAAATTGATTGATTTTATTCATTTATAGTTGGGAATTAGGTCGTTACCAAGCGGAATAGGCGAACAAAAATATATTACTGATGCTTTCCCACGAAAGAGAAATTTTGGACATGTGTTTAGCTACGTTGTAATTTTGTGCGTAAATTTCTAAATACTCCCTTAAATATTGTAACTTACTATCTATATTCATACACATATGTGAATAATAATAATAATTTATTCAATTGTTTATAATAGTATAATATTACCCGGAGAAATAGTAGCTGTCTCTTATGATTGTGCTCAATACCTTCTTTACATTCCTCGAGGAAATATTAAAAATGATTATGATTACATGTAAGCAAAATTTTTTGAATTTTACACCTAATTAAGATATAATGTTATTATTGGCTGAGAATACGTAGTTTAGTATTATACCAGTAGTAAATTTGAATGAAATTTAAGTGTCACTTATATAATCAGGCTAAACTTAATTATTAAAGTTGGTTGGAATGTAACAAGGTGTCATCATTATTACTACGCTACCTTATACGATATTCAGAAAGCTATTAAAATTGTACACGTTGTTAACGGAAAAGTTGCGACTTTTTTTTATCATTTTAGATCTTTATTTGATTTTCTAAGAAGATTGCTTTCAAGTGTGCATAATCGATAATAAATAACTGTGTAATTTTAATTTATTAACATTAAGATATATTTATAATTTGTAGAGCAATGATTGTTTCGGTTTTAATTTTACTCGTCATCACGTTATATCACGCGTTCTCTAAAAAAAATTTCCGACTTCATTAATCAATCGCTAGCCTTGATAAAGGTTATTTCCTTACTTATTATTTCGATAGTTGGACTAGTAAAATTAGCAGGAACTAATTCTACTAATTGGGTTAATGTTTTCAATGTATCCTCTAATGCTGGTGTATATGCATATGGAAATGGGTTAATACAGGTAAATTATCTAGGTAAATTATATAGGTAAATCATATACAGTAAGTAAATTATATATAAAATTGATATATTCTAATTACTAACCAAAAATTTTAGGTTTTATTCGCCTATGAAGGATGGAATAATATAAATTGTAAGGAATATTTTATGTTACTGCGCTTTCAAATTACTGTATGATCGCCCATCACACGGAAATCTAGCACTTTTTCATGAATAAATCTAATTAACATGTTAGAAATAAAAAATTCTCAAGATTCCCCATTATATTTCGATTCTCCAGCATCACTTCTAGTAGTACTCTAGACCTGGTAGTTATTGTGATAAAGTAAAGTAATATCAAATTTTCCAGAGATTTTTTTTCGTTCGTGGGAATCTTGATATTATTTCGATAAACTAATTACAGCTGTTTTCAAAAAGATGTGGAAAAAAGATTTCCATATACTCATGTAGGGAATCGAAGATGTGGAAATTCTGCTTAGTAAAATTAAAAATCCGATTAGGGCGGGTCTTGAATGCTCTGGAAATCTGGGAAATGTCGTGAATTCTCCATGCTATAGTGAGATGCATCTTTCCGCAAATTTTTGAAAAACGAAGATGCAGATCACTATAACATGGAGAATTCATGATATTTCCCAGATTTCTAGAGTTTTCAAGACCTGTTCTACCGGATTTTTAATTTTTACTACGCAGAATTTCCAAATTCTTCGATTCCCCACATGGGCATATGGAAATTGGTTTCCACATCTCTTTGAAAACAGCTGTAACAGTCCTAATGTGCTACTAGAGGCAATACTGCAGAATAGAAATATAATGTGGAATTTATTATTTCTAGGCATGTTAATTAGATTTATTCATGTAAAGTTCGGATATGATGAGCGATCATCTGCTAATCTCAGTAATTTGAAATGTGCAGTAAATTAGGCAAAATTTGATTTTAAAACATAATTGAATTAAATTTCTTTTATAGATTTAATTGGAGAATCAATAGAAACAGGCCCCGATGATCTAATATCTCCCTCCCTAATT